GGAGTCTAGGCTCCTTCCATTGGAAGCTAAGGGGTCTGCCTCAAAGACCCCATTAGCACTGCATATTTCTCCGTAGGGCACGGGTTATATTTATTTATTTTAAACCTTTATTAGCTGCTTTTCTTCCTTACGGAAAGCAAGGCGGCTTACAGACATCAATACAAACACGTAGGATAAAACGCCTTAAAAGCACAGAACAGAGAACACAGAGAGTCCTCCATCATTCTGTGTTATACCTCTGAGGATGCCAGTCTCAGCTACTGGCGAAACGTCAGGTCCTACAGTGCCAAGACCACGGCCGTACAGCCCGGAAGATCTACAACAGCATATGAGCTTTCGTTTGCATGCACACTTTTTCAAATATATGCATGTATTTGGAAAAGTGTGCATGCACACGGAAGTTCACACCTTGAATACACCTTTGTTGGTCTTAAAGGTGCCACTGGACTCTAAATTTGTTCACCCTACATTGAAGCTGGCAGTGAAACCTTGCACGGGCACGGCCTTGTGTACTCTGAGTCCTCAGCATGAGAGCCAGTTTGGTGTGGTGGTTAAGTGCTTGGACTCTAATCTGGGAGAACCAGGTTTGATTCCCCACTCCTCCACTTGCACCTGCTGATGTGACCTTGGGTCAGTCACAAGCTCTGGCACAGCTGTCCTTGAAAAAGAGCAGTTCCTGTCAGAGCTCTCTCAGCCCCACCTACCTTACCAGTTTGTAGGGAGCCAGTTTGGTTAAGTGCGTGGACTCCAATCTGGGAGAACCGGGTTTGATTCCCCACTCCTCCACTTGCACCTGCTGATGTGACCTTGGGTCAGTCACAAGCTCTGGCACAGCTGTCCTTGAAAAAGAGCAGTTCCTGTCAGAGCTCTCTCAGCCCCACCCACCTCACAGGGTGTCTGTTGTGGGGAGGGGAAGGGAAAGGAGTCTGTAAGCAGCTCTGAGACACCTTTGGGTAGTGAAGGGCAGGGGGGATAAATCCAATCTCTTCTTCTTTTACCTCACAGGGTGTCTGTTGTGGGGAGGGGAAGGGAAAGGAGTTTGTCAGCCACTCTGAGACACCTTTGGGTAGTGAAGGGCGGGATATAAATCCAATCTCTTCTCTTCAGGAGCCCCAAATTTGAGCCAACTGCCCATACGTTGTTTTCCAGTGTGTCTTTTTCAGGTGTGAGGCAGGGCTTGTAGCCTGCTTTTGGGGGTGGTGTCGGACAGGAACAGAAGCTGCATTTCTCGGTGTCTGAAGCCAGAGCAAAAGCAGCTCCCGGGTGGAGGCAAGAATAGAGCCGGTATCCTTATGGCTTGCTAGTAGGTAAGGAACTTGTGAAAGGGTTGGGCGAAATAGGTCAAGAGACCAGCTAACCCTGCTTCTGTAGGGTGAGATTCTTGGGTTTAAGGATGCGTTCCAAAAGAAATCATTCTTTCTCTCTCTCTCTTTGACCATGTTAGTTCGGTGAAACTGTGGGGGTGTGGAACTGTCACTGTTTTAAAGCAGAGCTCTGCCTCCCTTGTTCCAGTCTGGTGTAGTGGTCAAGTGTGCGGGCTCCAATCTGGGAGAACCGGGTTTGATTCCCCACTCCTTCACTTGCAGCTGCTGGATGACCTTGGGCAAGCTGTAGTTCTGATAAGAGCTGTCCTTGAAAAAGAGCAGTTTCTGTCAAGAGCTCTCTCAGCCCCGCCTACCTCACCAGTTTGTGGGGAGCCAGTTTGGTGTCGTGGTTAAGTGCGCGGACTCCAGTCTGGGAGAACCGGGTTTGATTCCCCACTCCTCCACTTGCACCTGGCTGGATGACCTTGGGCAAGCCATAGTTCTGATAAGAGCTGTCCTTGAAAAAGAGCAGTTTCTCTCAGAGCTCTCTCAGCCCCACCTGTTGTGGGGAAGGAGTTTGTAAGCCACTCTGAGAAGCAAGGGGTATAAATCCAATCTCCTCTTCTTGTTGTAAATAACCAGTCACTTGTTATATATTATAAGAACATAAGAACATAAGAGACGCCAATGTTGGATCAGGCCAAAGGCCCATCCAGTCCAACACTCTGTGTCACACAGTGGCCAGAAATACCAGTGCCATCAGGAGGTCCAGCAGTGGGGCCAGGACATTAGAAGCCCTCCCACTGTTGACCCCCCCCCCCAAGCACCAAGAAGACAGAGCATCACTTGCCCCAGAGCCCCTAGCTATACCTTGTGGCTAATAGCCACTGATGGACCTCTGCTCCATATGCTTATCTAATTCCCTTTTGAAGCCGTCCATGCTTGTAGCACCCACCACTTCCTGTGGCAGTGAATTCCATGTGTTAATCACTCTTTGGGTGAAGAAGTACTTCCTTTTATCCGTTCTAACCCGACCGCTCTGCAGTTTCATGGAGTGCCCACGAGTTCTTGTATAAGCTCCTGCAGAGTGCAGGGGGTTGGACCAGATGACCTGCAAGGTCCCTTCCAACGCTGACATTCTATGATTCCTTGCCTCACGCACCAAACCACTGAGCATTGAGCCCTTCTACAGAGGAGACGATGAATTTACTCTTTATGTAGTGAAAAGAAGGTGTTGGTGTGAGTTACTGAAGGGGCGGGGGAGAAGTAGGAATTACCTCGGATTCCTGTCCTGCCTCCCAGGGCACAGTCATTTGTTGACACTTTGGCCCATTCTGCATCTAGCATTTGCGCCGCTGTTTTACCAAACCCACGTCGGAACAGAAATTCCCCTCTGCCTTGCATGCCACTTTTCGCTTTCTTTGATTGTCGGATTTTATGGCAGCCTCCACACTGCATGCCGGTTTCGCTTCCGTTGATCTCTCGGTTTTATGGTAGCCGTCTGCATAGATTTGTGGCCGTTTTAGGGTCGTTCAGGGGTGACTCTGCAATCAGTACGGCCGTTGGCCCTGGGGTATCTGAATGTGGTTTTTGAGCGGCATCTTTTCCTGTCCCAGTGTGGGTTTGGTAAAACAGCTGAGTGAACGCTAGGTGCAGAACGGGCCATTGCTTCGCTGACCACTCGCCACCCATGTGAGTAAGAACTAAATCGTCTCGGCCACCATCGCTGGAAAGGGTGATGGGGGTGGGTGGCCGTCCCAGTGAAGAGCCCTGTCCAAACACAGCAGGGGCTGCGTTTTCTGTGAGCAGTGGTGGTGATGGAAAAATGGGTGTGGGGTTGGATGCACGTACCAAGCGAGAAGGAGTCCCTGCTCTCTTACGCATCCTGCTCTCCATCTTTGGAGGTTTTAAAGCAGAGGCTAGGTGGCCATCGGACAGCAGTGCTGATTCTGTGAACTTGAGTAAACCCAGGGCTCTTTTTGTAGCAGGAACTCCTTTGCATATTAGGCGACACACCCCTAATGTAGCCAGTCCTCCCAAAGGTCATAGTACCATAAATACTCCATTTACCTCTGATTTAATGAAAAATTAATTAATGAACGGCCCTAACACGGCCATAAATCTATGCAGACGGCTACCATAAAACCGAGAGATCAAAGGAAGTGAAACCGGCATGCAGTGTGGAGGGGGTCATAAAATCCGACAATCAAAGAAAGTGAAAAGAACATAAGAGAAGCCAATGTTGGATCAGGCCAAAGGCCCATCTAGTCCAACACTCTGGGTCACACAGTGGCCAAAAATACCAGGTGCCATCAGGAGGTCCACCAGTGGGGCCAGGACATTAGAAGCACCAAGAAGACAGAGCATCACTTGCCCCAGAGCCCCTATCTACACCTTGTTGCTAATAGCCACTGATGGACCTCTGCTCCATCAGTGCAGAAGGGCGATTTCTGTTCCAGCGGTGCAAATGCTAGATGCAGAATGGGCCAGTGTCAAATTACTGTGCCCAGGGAGGCAGAACAGGAATCCGAGCTCTTCTTACAGGGACTACTGCAAACTCTTGGAGGACTGGATACATTAGGGGTGTGTCGCCTAATATGCACAGGAGTTCCTGCTACAAAAAGAGCCCTGATAGGCATCACAGTTACAGGATATATATCAAACAAACAAACACTGTGATAAAAATGACAACAGCATTTAATAAATCTTATGATCATCAGATTAGATTACAATTGAAACTTTTGCCATATTGCTAAGGAAATGCTAACGTTTTCAAGGAAACGCCCATCATCCTCTATGAGCCCCCCGGTTATACACTCATTTCAACAGTCTTCCTCAGGAGTAATCCTTGATACAGCTTCTTTTTTTTACTTTCTTCAAATTATTGCAGTTTAAGTTCTTTTTAATTTTCTTCAAATTATCTTCTGGTTCCATTTTCAAATTATTACAGCTTAACTTCTTTTCTACTTTATCTTCTAGTTCCATTTGAAGTATTTAAATTAGGAGCAAGCCAGTTAATTTATTTCTGAAAGTAGCAACCAGTCCTTTTTTTAAATCCGGCTAGAAGCCTTCTTTTTTTATATATTGGCTGGCAATTGCTCTCTATATCAAGTTGCTAGCTCAATCGCTCTCTAGTTATTCCTGGTAGAAGCATGTATCGGTCCTCTTTTCTCCCGGCTAGAAGCCTTCTTATTGAATAGACTTACAAATGCTCTCCACCTGACGGCGCTGCTGATTCTGTGAACTTGGGCAGATCACGAGAGGGAGGGCAGGAAGGCTTGCCTCTGTGCTTAATTCTTGTGGCCCCTTCTGACACGCCCAGGGAAATGCCGATTGCCAGTTTGGGGATCAGGAAGCCATTTTTCTCCAGGCCAATTTGGCCGGGGATCCTGGAGGGTTGGGGTTGGGTTTTTTTTGCCATCTTCTGGGCCTGGAACAGGGGTCACTGGGGGTGGGGGGAGAGGTGTTTGTGAATGTCCTGCATTGTGTAGGGGGTTGGACTAGATGACCCTGGAGGTCCCTTCCAGCTCTCTAATTCTGTGATTCTATCCCTAACATTCCAACCAGAGCGAAACGTGCACAGCTTCATTCTCCTTTGGCCCTGTTGCTTGGGCGAGATAGAGTACAAGACTGGCGAGTCTAATGGTGCCGTGTCTTTTACCCACACAGGGTCTCGGCTCTTCTTCAGGCTCTGAGATGCATCCCAGGATAAGAAAATTTGCCATGTACATTTTGTCCATCTTCTTGCTTGCGTGCCTGGTGTACTTAAAGAGGGACACCAAGTCGGTTGTGTCTGCAGCAAGCAGGAAAACGCACAAGCCGCATCAGAAGCATGCCTCCTGGTTCCCCAAACGGGCGGAGCCTAGCAAATGCACACCCGACCTTACCGTTGCCAATTCCTCTACCTCCCTCCCCGAGGTCCACCGGGTCTTCTTGATGTACAAGCACTGCCGGCACTTTCCGACGTTGCTGAAGCCGACCGGATGTGACGCCGACACCTTCCTGCTGCTGGCTATCAAGTCTGCCCCCATCAACATCGATCGCCGGGTGACCATCAGGAACACGTGGGGAAAGGACCCCGTCGTCGGTGGCAAATCGGTGAAGCTGCTGTTCCTGCTCGGTCGCTCGGAGGTCAAAGTCCGGGCTCACTCCCTCCAGCAGCTTTTGGTGTACGAGAGTCAGGAATTCGACGATATCGTCCTGTGGGATTTTGTCGACAACTTCTTCAACTTGACCCTGAAGGAGCTGCACTTCCTCCGATGGTACGCCACCGACTGTCCACAGGCCCGCTTTGTGCTGAAAGGGGACGACGACGTGTTTGTCAACACCTACAATATCGTGGCGTTCCTGAGAGACCTGGACCCTCAGAAGGATCTCCTCGCTGGTGATGTCATCAGCAAAGCCCGACCGATAAGAAACACCAACACCAAGTATTTCATACCAGAATCGATGTACCGGGAGCCTTTCTACCCCCTCTACGCCGGTGGCGGCGGCTATGTCATGTCCCAGACGACGGTGCGACGGCTGCAGTTGACGGTCGAGGACACGGAGCTCTTCCCGATCGATGATGTCTTTGTTGGGATGTGTCTGGCCAAAATGGGGATGACCCCAGTTCACCACACTGGCTTTAAGACCTTTGGAATCCAGAGGCCCTTTAATCCGTTTGATCCCTGTCTGTACAAAGAACTGATGATTGTACACAAACTGAGCCCAACGGAGATGTGGGTCATGTGGACGCTGATGAAAGACGGCGGACTTAGATGTGCCATTTCAGTCGCTCACGAATGATAGGAGCGATGTGAGCGCCTCTGGCGAAACACAATGTGGCCGAGACTTTGACAGGACTCGGCTTAAACTGTTATTAACAGATAACCTTTTTTAAAAGGCCGATTGTTTATGGTAGAATAACTCTTGCACTGATTCCTTTCCCCCCCCCCCCAAAGCAATTGTTTACAGAAGTTGGACCAAGAACAGGTCTCGTTTCTGGCCTCCCTGCTCAAGATACATATCGTGCGGACCTGACCGTGTGATTTGGACGAGGAGGTCTCAAACTGCAGGGTCGTCCTAGCTGGGCAGGGGCATGGTCTAGTCAAAGCCGCACATTTGCAAGTCTGATTAATGTCAGCAGGAAAGGCGGGTGTTTGCTGAACTCTTGCTGTTGGAATCAGAAGGAATTTGTCTAGATTGTGTCTGTAATTGTTCGTGTTCGGGGCAGGCTGCTCCATGGAAGAGGCTTTAGTACAGAGAAGACCTGTAATGCCTTAAGCAAGAAAGGTACCTATTCTGCTTTCTTGTCATGCTCCAAGTTAAAGCATGGCACGGCTTAGGGTGCGCAATCCGACCTTAAACCCAACAGACTGAAAAGAGGGTTCAAGGAGTTCTGTGGGAGCACAAAAACAGACTGGGTTAGATGCTGTGGATTTTCCCCACCTCTGAAAGGTCTCTTGCCTTAAAAACAAGTCTGGCTTGCCACCTAGTTGTGCATAAAGATAAAAGAGCTAGAACTTCTGGCTGCCAGACAATCTTAGGATCCCCTGGCTATACTACCCACAATGCCATACGATAATTATAATTGTTATTCCCACTGGGAGCCTGACTCTGCTACAGCTTTAAACCAGCTTCAAAGCAAGTTCACAACTCTTTGGGCTCCCCTGTTAGGAATTCTGCAAAGCATGGTTCTGCAAAGGCGTTAAGGCAGGGGTATCAAACATATGGCTCGCGGATCGGATCCGGCCCCTGCAGGGCTGCTAACTGGCCCGTGAGCAACTGGCTCTCTGCTGCTTCTTGTTTCCTGTATCACAGTTCTTTTTGCCCAGTCTCCTATTTCCTGCTTTGCAGAGGAGAGAAAGAAAGCCAAGCCTCCCTTCCCACAATTGGCTGAGGGGAGGGGGAGGGAAAGAGCCAGAGAGAGAGAGAGAGAGAGAGATATGGCACTTTTAAGAAGACCAACAATGATTTATTCCAAGTATAAGATTCTGTGTGCAAGCACACTTCTTCAGAGAGAGGGAGGAGGGAGAAAAAGAGCCAGAGAGAGATGGAGAAATTGAGTCCCATGGTACATAGAGAGATCCCCCTTTCCAGTTCTAACAGATTGGGGGGGGGGGAACCTAGCAGCACAGCTTGCATTCTTTATTGGTGAAAAGGAGCAAGAGTCCAGGAGCACCTTAATGACTAACAAACTTTGTGGCAGGGCTGGGCTTCCATGAGTCACTGCTCACTTCTTCAAGTACAGCAAGAATGTGAGTCCATCTGTATTTATATCTTGGAGAGTGAAGTGATTTCAGATGCCAAATGACAATAGGAGGCATTGGTAATGAGAGAAGAAACCTAGGTTTCTATTAAGTCCAGAAGGATGCATTGTCTTGAGCTTCATTATCAGTTGCAATTCAGCAGTCTCTCTTTCTAATCTCCCTTTCCTTTGTAAGAAAACTGCTACACTTAGGTCAGCAACTGAATGTCCTGGAAGGTTAAAATATCCTCCCACTGGTTTTTTAATGTTGTGGCTTCTAATAGCAATAGAAAGAGTCAGAGTCCAGTAGCACCTTAAAGAGTGACAACATTGTGGTAGGGTATGTGCTTTCACGAGTCACTGCTCACTTCTTCAGGTTTATTTCCATTTATTCTTTGCATCCTCCTGGACTGAATCCTCCTGTACCAAACTGAGACCTAGGTTTCCTGTCTCATTACCAGTGCTGATATCTCCATGCCTACTACCCCTCTGCATATCACACTTAATCCAATCGCACCCGCTATTGCCATTTGGCATCTGAAATCATCTTTTTAAAGTTTATATCTCCAATACCTTGTGTTAAGGGCCACGGTGGCTCAGAGGTTAAGACGCTGAGCTGCAGACTGGAAGGTCTATAGTTCGGCAGTTCAAAACCCGAGTGCCACGTGACGGAGTGAGCTCCCATCTCTAGCCCCAGCTCCTGCCAATTTAGCAGTTCGAAAGCACCTTCGGTGGGAAGGTAACAGCGTTCCGTGCCCCTCAGCATTTAGTCATGCCAGCCACATGACCACGGAAACGTCTTCGGACAGTGCTGGCTCTTTGGCTTGGAAACAGATGAGCACCACCCCTGGAGTCAGATTCGACTAGCTTTTGAGCAATGGAAACCTTTACCTTTAGTTTTACCTCGTGTTACATTTTATGGCACACATGGCCCGGCCCCACAAAGTGACATTTATGTCAGATTCGGCCCTCGTAACAAATGAATTTGGCACCTCTGCGTTAAGGCTTCCTAGCAAAGAATTCCTCATGCCCTACCAAAACGGCAGTTCCTTACTAGAAGCCTCTTGGTAGGGAGGGGACGCCCCTGACAATTAAAACATGCCATGTAAACATGTCCCCTGAAGCAGGAGCTCTCTCGCCCTCCCTTGACAGTCATGAGCCTTTAGTAGGAAGTCTACTGTTATTTCTGCGCTTCGGCCGCTGCCCTGCAAGGCAGGAATCCTGGGCCGTTCTAATCCGGTAAGGGGTACTAAACATTCCAAGATGCCTGGTCCCGCCAGGCCACCAGACTTTACACATTCCCTTTTAACCCACACCACTACCGGAGCACGTTGGGTTTGATACTAATTTCTCACTAATCACGTTTCTCACTTTGTGCTTCAAGTCGCTGACAACTGGAGGGCGGTCGAGTGGGCCCAGCAGCCAACGCCGGCTCCTCCATGCCTTTCTTTTCCTTCACAGCACAGGTGAATAAACAGTTTGGAAAATATAATTATTGAGCGTTCCTGCATTGCTGAAAAGCAACAACAAAGCAGCCGTACAGAAGCCACAAACACCGAGGGGGCGATAACAGTGAGCGAAGTTTGGGAAAGTGGGTTGGTGAGAACAAGAAATGCATAATCCGGCCTGAAGTCAGGAAGCCATTTTTTCTCCAAGCCAGTTTGGCCGGGGATCCCGGACGTTTTTTGTCATTGTGGCGGAACGGGCCCGCGTCAGCTGGCAGACCCCGCTTTGCCTGACTTGGCACCTGAAGGGGCAGTTTTTCACCATTGCCTCCGGGTATTGCTGCCACCACTGTCCCTGTCTTGGGCTCTGGTTAGGCGGGAGCAGCCTCCTGACCTCTCTCTGATGTCGCTAGGAACCCACCTCGGGGCTTCCTGGCAATCTTCGGGGCTCCCCTGGAGAGTTGGAAACTGGCCGTTTTGCCCTTGTTCTCCTCCTCAGAGAGTCCCCAACCCACTCCTAGCGTGTCCAAGCGGCTGGGGGAACTAGGAGGAACAGAGGGACTTCTCAAGGTTAACGATAAAAGGATTTATTTTGAAACCACTCAACTATATACAGGCATATGAACAGTGAACTGAAGAATCAAAATAAAGGTGGATAATTAATCGCTCCCTCTCTCCCTTCCCTTACACTGATGCCCTGTCTAGATGGTCTGCAGGGCAGGCACACGACTTACTTTCACTGGAGGAGGTTAGATTAGCACCACTCCCAACATGGCCTCTCTGCCTCCTCCTGCAGACTCTGGCCGACAGCCTGACTGGCTCCAGACTTCAGGCAGACCAACCTCAATTCTCCTAGACTGGCTTCCCGCCCAAAAGCTCCACTATATCCAACAGCCCTTCCCACCCAGGAAGTGCCTCTCCCTCCTGCAGCATTCTGGGGCAGATCTCCTCACAGCCTTGATGGACTTCCTGTCCTCTCTAGGCAGCTGCCCTCTGCTGGTTGGAGCGGGGGGGGGGGGTGAGGAGGAGCCTAGGCAAAGGCCTACCTCGGGTTTGATGGTCCCCTCCCAACTTACACATAGGCATAAAATGGCGTTTCTCCAGTCATCTTCTGGGCATGGAGAAGGGGTCACCGCGGGTGTTGAGGGGGAGGTATTTCTGCATTTCCTGCACTGTGCAGGGGTTGGACTAGATGACCCTGGAGGTCCCTTCCGACTCTGATTCTGTGATTCTAAGATAACTGATACAGAGGCAGGTTCTTCAAACCCCCACTGAACTTTGGCCACACACCCTCTGCCTAACCTACCTTAAGGGGATAAAACGGGAGAATGATGTCAGTAGCTTTGGGTCCCCGTTGGAGTGAAAGGCAGGATGTAAACAGATATCCACTCAGCAGAGTGAGGGGAGAGGTATTCATAGACCCAATTTGGTGTAGTGGTTAAATGTGCGGACTCTAATCTGGGAGAACCGGGTTTGATTCCCCACTCCTCTGCTCGCAGCTGCTGGAGGACCTTGGGCAAGCCATAGTTCTCTCAGAGCTGTTCTCTCAAGGGCCATTTCTGTCAGAGCTCTCTCAGCCCCGCCTACCTCACAGGGCATCTGTTGTGGGGAGGGGAGGGGAAAGGAGTTTGTAAGCCGCTCTGAGACTCCGAGTGAAGGGCGGGGTATAAATCCAATCTCTTCTCCAGGGACCAGTCACAGAAGGATTAATAAACTGGCAAAGCCGCTGGTTCTTCCAGGATGTTAGGATACTGTACAAAACTATTAGCATTCCACAAGGCAAGGCTTCTGCAGTGTGTTACAGAAGAGTAATGGAAAGCCTTTCTGCTTAGACCTTCTCTTGCTGAAATTTATTTTGGGGGGTGGGCGAGGATGCGAGAGGTGCGTGGCCGGTGGCACGGCAGGCAAGCTGCCTCACCCGCTGTCATTCCAAGAGGTTCACAACCTGCTCCCACCACCACCACCAGCTCTCCAGAAGTATCCTTTTAGAGCACTGATTCTGACAAGATGGTTCCCCCTCAAAGATTATATGTTGCCTCGGAACAGAAATCCACGTGGATTTGTGTGTTTGGGGGGGGGGGGGGGATCCTACAGCCTTGATTTTTCCCTGTTCCTGAAAGCAGAGCAATTTGCATTGGTTATTTGACGCAACATTCATCACCCGGCTGCTTCACAGAAAGGAGGGAAACGTGACATTAAAATTTACTTGCAGTCTGACTCTTTACAGAAATCAGGTCTCCCCAGGGATGGTTAGTAGAGCTGGCGTTAGCACGGTGGCAGCACCAGGAAATCCAGGGTTGAACATAATTTCCATTGCAAATAATGTACAAAAAGCAAATGCTGTTCTGGTGGTGTTCTCTGTAAAGTTTGTGGCAGCCATCGGTGCTAAGAGTGAGCGACCGGAGCAAGGAACAGATACCGAGGAGCAGGGGTCATTTCCTGTGAGAGCGCACAGGAGCGGATCTCTGGCAGTAAGGAGCCCGGGGGGTGGGCACATGCAGCAAGCCCCGCGGCCTGCTCCCAGCAGCCCTCAGTCGGGCCACGAGGAGCAAGAAGCAACCAAGTAAGTTGTAGAGGCCCCCCCAGCCCGCCTTCAGGTACAAGCTCTCCCTCCTCTGTGAGGGCAGATCTGCGCGTCCCCCCCCCCTCCCCAATAGCCAGCAATCCAAAACATTCCAGTGGAGCCTGAGCGGTGGGTGTTGCCTTCTGACACACTTCTGGTGATGTCAGCGGGTGTGGCATATGCAAATGAGTTATGCTAATGAGCTCCTGCACCTCTTTTTCTATAAAATTACCCCTGCCGAGGAGGAAGCAGCAGGGGCTGAAGGATCAGACCCCTGTCTGTCCACAAATCCAGGGGCGGGGTTGGGAAAGAGACTGTCGGCTGTTTGATCTGTTGCATGCATCTCTCATATCTGAGCAGGAGTTACCTCTAGGCCCTGTAGGGTCTGAGCTGTAGTCTCAAAGAACTTATCTCCAATGTGTGTTTGCGTAAGAAGAGATTGGATTTATTCCCCGCCCTTCACTGAGAGTCTCAGAGCGGCTTACAAACTCCTTTCCCTTCCCCTCCCCACAACAGACACCCTGTGAGGTAGGCGGGGCTGAGAGAGCTCTTTTCAGAGCTGTCCTTGAGAGAACAGCTCTGACAGAACTCTGGCTTGCCCAAGGTCACCCAGCAGCTGCGAGTGGAGGCGTGGGAAGTCAAACCCAGTTCTCCCAGATTAGAGTCCGTGCACTTAACCATTACGCCGAACTGGCTCTCAAGACTTAAAACCACTACACCAAACTGGCTCTTGTGAGACTTAAAAAAGAACAAACTCAGCAATCGGGGAGACTGAGGCTGAAGTTGCCTCAAGGATCTGGAAGAGACGCAAGTCCATCTGTGTCTCCTGCTGCCTTCAGTTTTTGTGGTCTGGGGGAGCACCTGCTGTCTGCATCCCCTTGGCCACAGAGGAAGCAGACGGCCTCCTGTACAGCAGGAAACCCAAGCACGCGATCTCAGCAAGCACACAGAGCTCACACGGCGAAGGATTCTGGAGAGGAGAAGGGACGGCTGGAACAGGAACGGAGCGACTGCGCTTCTCTCCACTGTTCAAGAGCGTGTCTTCGCAGCAGCAGTGGTGAGGGGGCACGTGGGTAGGGCAAAAGCTCCAAAAGGAACGGGGAAGTCGGCTCAGCGGGATCAGCGTGGCGCTACTCCCTTCCGAGAAATACAGCAGCATCTGCCGCTGTGTTTCTCAAGTGTGAGGAGTGCCGCACTGATCCGTTCCGAAGCACATACGGACTAGGACTGAATGCTCTGGGACCCCTACACAGAAGACGAGGAGATTGGATTTATGCCCCACCCTTCACTACCCAAAGGAGTCTCAGAGTGGCTTACAGTCTCCTTTTCCCTTCCCCTCCCCACAACAGACACCCTGTGAGGTGGGTGGGGCTGAGAGAGATCTCTTGAGAGAAACTCTTTTTCAAGGACAGCTCTTATCAGAACTACGGCTTGCCCAAGGTCATCCAGAAGGTGCAAGTGGAGGAGTGGGGAATCAAACCCGGTTCTCCCAGATTAGAGTCCGGACACTTAACCACAACACTAAACTGGCTCTCTCACAGGAGTCGGGCTCACTTGCAGTCTTTGCCCCCTGCTTTCTTTCAAGCACAGGAAGGTGCTGAGCTTCTGGAATTCAATATTTGCCTAAGGCCCTCACAGGCAGTGTTCCCTCTAAGCAGAGTCAGTGTGAGCTAGCTCACAGTTTTTTAGCCTCCGGCTCACACATTTTTGTCTTAGCTCATGAAGGAGGGCTCCAGAGCAAACTAATTTATGCAGTAGCCAAATCGCTCGCGCACAACTTTAATGCTAGTTGCTCACAAAGTAGAATTTTTGCTCACAAGACTCCACAGCTTAGAGGGAACGTTGCTCACAGGGCTTGAAATCCAAGCACTGCCCTGTACAAACCACCATCATTTAAGCAATAAGAGCCAGCCAGCGTGGTATAATGGCTAGCAGCCACAGCCTCTAATCTGGAGAACCGGGTTTGACTCCCCACCCCTCCTCCATATGAAGCCTGCTGGGTGGCCTTGGGCCAGTCACAGTTCTCTCCGAACTCTTTCAGGCCCACCTACCTCACAAGGTGCCTGCTGTTGGGAGAGGAAGGGAAAGGGATTGTAAGCCACGTCCAGAAGAGGGCAACCAGGATGGTGAGAGGGTTGGAATCCAAGTCTTATGAGGAAAGGCTGAAAGAGTTGGGTCTGTTTAGCCTGGGAAAGAGAAGGCTTAGAGGGGACAGGATTTCAGTCTTCAAGTATCTGAAGGACTGTCATGTAGAAGATGGAACAGATCTATTCTCTCTTGCTCTGGATTGCAAGACTAGATCTAATGGGTGGAAATTTCAAGGGAGTCGATACCGGCTAAATGTCAGGAGAAACCTCCTAACTGTAAGAGTGGTTGAGCAGTGGAGCAGACTGCCTTGGGAGGGGGTGGATGCTCCTTCGCTGGACATTTTCAAGCGGAGGCTGGACGACCATCTTCCGGGTCTGTTGTAGGTATGTAGGGCTATCTTTCGGCTATGTTCCTGCAGAGTGCAGGGGGTTGTGCTAGATGACCTGCAAGGTCCCCTCCAACTCTAACATTCTATGAGTGAGACTCCTTCGGGTAGAGAAAAGTGGAGTATAAGAGCCTTTCCTTCTTATCCATTTTACACAGCCACATATCAACATTTCTAAAGCTACAGTCTGACAGCTTTTTTTTTTTTTTTTAAAAAACCCCAACAATTCTGCAGAGGTCAGATCTGACACGTGCATCACAGCGGTTAAAAGCACAACGACGGAGCCATGGGGAATGTCTCATAAGAGCTGAGCGTGTGATTTCTGTTCTGCCTCCCTTATCACCCCTTCACAGCTCTTTAAACATATCACACCTGTCTTTGCTCTTTTTTTAGCTGACCAGTGCTGAAAGAAACCCAGAGGTTCAGCTCAATTTCCTCCCTGTTGCTAGTTCAGTAAAAATGAAACTTTTATTATATATTTGGATGTGGGGATGTCTGTCAGACGGCAGTCATTTTTTGATGGGCTGTTTGGCCTGTTTTCAGGTGTCTTGATTGCAATTAAAACACTACCTGCCTCCTCATTTTGACATCGTTTTTTTGATTGGGATTCTGTTTGTATAGCAAGACAGAGGCGCCCTGTTCCTGGCAAAGAGAGCAGACCAACAACTGCTGTGGTTTCTCTGCAGTTTCTCTGAAGAGGCCGTGTCATAACTCTAAGCCACTCTGTACCCGGACACACATTTTGGCATGCAGCTGGTTATCGGCGCTGCTGTACAAGGTAGACAAAGCCTCTTAGTTACAATTAAGATCAATTTTTGTAGCCCTTTATTTAAAAACAGGTTTTGGTGCAAATCGTCTGTGTCCACATAATTAGAAAAAAAACACACACACAAAAGAGAAATCAGTCTTCCAGACTGACTTTCTGGCCAGGAAATGCAACTCAGGTCTTGACTTTCAGGTGCACCCTCGTCACGACCTCATTCCCTTCACAAAACAACTCAGTGTTTTCCGATATAAAAAGATCCTGTCCTCTTGGATTTCCTGAAACCTACAATTATCTCCAGGCGTTTGGGAGTTCGACGGATGTTATTGAGTCGTTTCTATTAGCAGTTCCAGGGACACGTTCTCCACCGCCGGCAATGCCGTGTGGCGACCGGCCCCTTTTCACATTTGTGCGTTCAAATAAACAACTTCCCACCAGATCAGAGGCCCAGCTCCCAACGTTTGGGGCCTGCAGCTAGCTAGTCTGGAAAGACAAAGGAAAAGTTGCCAGTAACCTTAGGATACCAGCATTTCAACTTTTATCATGTCAATTTCCCCCACCCAGCAACTGAACTAGTGCTGAAATCCTCCAGGCGGGCCGTCCGCAGGCTTCAGTCTTCGCGAAGGTAAGCTTCCTCAGCCGCCTCGTTACTATTCTGTCGGCTGGCCGGCTGCCAGGGTTCCTCTTCCTTCAGTTTCAGGAGCTCTTCGGTCTGCGCTTCGGCCAGTTTGGTCTCCGCCTTCTGCGACAGCTGCCGGATCTCTTGCACCTGGCTCTTCACCAGCTGGATATGGTTATGGGCTGACACAGAGGCTTGGTTGGCTCCTGCAACAGGGAAGGGACGGTCAGGTTGCCTTTGTGTGTCCCTGCTGTATCTAGAACAGAGTGCCCAGCAGCGTGAAGCAGGGTTCTGGTCTGAACTGGACGCTTCACGGCTTTGCTTGCGAGTGTCTCTCTCGCAGAAAACAAGCAGTGCTGCATAATGATGAGTTACACAACTCGGTCACGCACGTGGCAGGCAAAGCCTGCCTGCAGTTCTGTGTGCCATCGTTCCTTTCTAGATACAAAAATACACCCATATTCACTATCTCAGCTCCTATGCAGTGACAACCCTGGGTTGTCCCAGGGTGAGGGGAAGTTATTTTTGTGTGGCAGGAGTGAGCCCTGGCTGGAAATGCTACTTCTTCCTTTTTAAAAACTCCTTTGCCAAACTGCCTTGGAGGTCGCATAGGGGAACCTTTGGGAGGAAGACTTAAATGCATGCATGAATGGGCACACTACTGTGGGTCAATGCCTTAATCTCTGGGGCACAATTCAAAGAAACACGACTGTTTGCCAAGCGCAGTCTCTATGGAAAGAGAGAAAAGCTGGGTCCTACTGGCCTTCCATCGGCTTCTGACCGCAAGGATATGCGGCAGTCGACAATACCTGACTGGTACGCTGCTTCTGCCGCCATCTCAGAAAGGCGCAAGGCCGCTCTCCACCTGGACTCGAGCTTCAGGTACTCTTGCTGCTTTGTAGTCACCTAAATTAGAGCCAAACACCATGTTAGAAACACCCCCCTGGCAGTGTTCAAGCTGAGTTTAGTGTGAGCTAGCTCTCATTTTTTTAGCTTCCAGCTCACATTTCTGCCTTAGCTCAGGAAGGAGGACTCCAGAGCAGTGTTCCCTCTAAGTTGAGTTTAGTATGAGCTAGCTCACAGTTTTTAGCCTTTGGCTCACGCATTTTTGTCTTAGCTCAGGAAGGGATGGCTCCAGAGCAAACTAATTTATGCAGCTCGCTCACAACTTTAATGCCAGTTGCTCACAAAGTAGAATTTTTGCTCACAAGACTCCACAACTTAGAGGGAGCATTGCCCCCTGGGCCCGTCTGTAAGTGACATCAGGTTCAAACAAGCAAACATCGGCAGTATGTTGCCGAAGGCTTTCACGGCCAGAGTTCATGAGTTGTTGTAGATTTCCCGGGCTGTGTGGCCATGGTCTTGGCATTGTTGGACCTGACGTTTCGTCAGCAGCTGTGGCTGGCATCCTCAGAGTTGTAGCACAGAAAGACAGAGTACTCTCTGTGTCAAGGTGAGAAGAAAATGGTAGGCGGGCAATTTATATCTACTCAGGAAGGTGGGGTAGGGCTGAGTCATTATCTTGCAGGAGTTCCCCGGGCTTTGAACATGCTAATGGAGGAGCTTTCCAGAGGAGGTTCTTTTGTATATGGATTGTTTCCTAAGGAGGTTTCCTGTTCCCTGAGGAGGTTCTTTTGCACGTGGATTGGCTGTCGAAATTCTAATCTTATCTGTAGTGCTATTGCCTACCATTTTTCTTCTGACCTTGACACAGAGAGTCCTCCATCTTTCTGCGTTACACCTCTGAGGATGCCAGTCACAGCTACTGGTGAAACGTCAGGTCCTACAATGCCAAGACCACAGCCGTACAGCCCGGAAAATCTACACCAGCTAACGAACACCAGCAGGTTCTCATTTGCCCTCATGACCACAGGTCACTGCTTGGTTTCCACCTTTCTACAGACCCGAGGGCTGGCACCAGCAGAAAAGGGAGTCTTGTGAGCCTGAATAGAGCAGGGATCTGAACCCAAGACTCTCCAGTTCAACTTCAGAATGACTGCAAGCTGGGGCACTCTGGCTCTTACACGTGATTATAGAAGAAAATTTTCTACAGAATTACTACAGTGAACGTTTTCAACTTATCTTTATTGACTCTTCGTTATTTTTGTCACGGATGTTGTGTTTGGTATTCCACTTCCTCCCAAGATCATTTTGCTGGCTGGTGGCTTACCTCAACTCTAGCGCCAATGATCACCTGCCAGATGGCATCCTCCTCTTTGGAGTTCATCTTCCCAAGGAGCTGCGTGTATTTCTGGTACAGCGACACCAGCGTATAAACTGACTGGAAGGGGGACAGAGATTATGTTAGAGGCCGGCCGGCAGGCTAAATGTGTACGGCAGCATTTCCGCTGGAGCCACCAGGCAGAGCGCCTCTTACCGTTGTGTACTCCGTGAGAGCATCAATTAGTGCGTATGTCGTCTGAGACAGCAGGGTGCCGGTGCTGTCAGTTACGAGAGAGACAGCTCGCCGGATCAAGGCTTCGTTGCTAAGCAAGGTCGGGTCGTGTTTCTGAAAGGCAAATATTAGGCACCAGTCAGGTCGCTCTCCAAAGGCACTGCCTCTTTGGAAGCGCGTGATAAAAGCTTGCTACCCAGTTGGCAGCAAGAGAAAGAAAAATCCTAGGTGATAAGGCCAGTAAAGGGTTTGCGGCAGCACTGGACAACTTATCCAGCAGCGAGGGAGGCTGGCTGGAAGGCTAATCTGCACGCTGAGGAAACAAAGTCAAAACTTCCTATTGGCACTTTTCAGAGTTGATGCCTTCAACAGCCTCGTGGGACAGATTACGCTCAGAGATGGGTTGAACCCAGCAGAGATTTCCATTAGCCAAAAGGAAGGGGCATTTTTGCGGATTCCCTGCTTCTGCTATAGACTTTGACTCCCCTCTCACGCTCAGGGGTCATTTCGTAGAAAAAGAGGTGCAGGAGCTCATTAGCATAACTCATTAGCATAACTTATTTGCATATGCCACACTCCCTGACATCGCAGGAAGTGTGTCAGAAGGCAACACCCACCACTCAGGCTCCACTGGACTGTTTTGGATTGCTAGCTATTGGGGGGGGAATGCAGATCTGCCCTCACAGAGGAGGGAGAGCTTGTACCTGAATAAAGCTTGGTCTTAAAGGTGCCACTGGACTGTTTTGGGCGGGGGGGGGGCTCTGCAGCTTACCTGGCTGCTTCTTGCTCTGACTGAGGGCTGCTGGGAGCAGGGGGTGGGGCTTGTTGCATGTGCCCGCCCCCTGAGCTCTTTACTGCCGGAGCTCTGCTCCTGTGCACTACCGCAGGAAATGACCCCTGCTTACGCTGTTCCTGGGGAGGGGCACTTGTCCCAGTATTTCAGGGGTCAAGCAAGGAAGTACGGCTTCACCAAAGAAATCTCTTCCGTCAGCAAAAAATAAATAAATGGTGGGATTCGTCACCAGCTCACCCGAGGCGAATCTGAATGCTTTATACTTCCCCTAAGAATTTGAGTCTTGCAGTAAGAAAAACTGCATCAGCACAGTCAAAGGTTTTAACAGCTGGCTATTTGAGCCCGTGGCTCTGCCCCACTAACCGTGCTGTCATTTCCTCCGATGCAAGGACCCCCTCACACAGATGCAATCGCCACAGTTAGCTGGCAGATCCGCAATACCCAACTGTTCCTGGCTTTATGGTTTCTGGCGGCTGAAAATCAGAACGTTCTACAAATGGGGACTGTATGTAGTCTGAGCTCCCGCAACACCAAGCAATGTGCTCTACTTCAGTTTCATTTGTCTTTAGTTTTACCTTGCCCTGACCTGGATAGCCCAGCCAACCCGATCTTCTCAGAAGCAAAGCTGGGTTGACCCTGGTTAGTACTTGGACAGGAAAACTACATTCCTTTGAGACCGCTTCTCCAGATATGTCCCCCAAGGGGGACTAAGATCACCAGAAAAGAATCTTCTGGTGGTCCCAAGCCCCAAAGTTATCTGGTTGGCCTCGACCAGGGCCAGGGCCTTCTCCGGCCTGGCCCCAACCTAGTAGAGTTCTCTGCTGAGTGACATCCATGCCTTGTCTGACCTGATGTCAGGAAGCCCTGTCATAAGTATGGTATGTGGAGGGGTGCCTGCTCTCCCTGGCTCACCCACTGTTTGCTATCTTATGCGATGGCGACGTGACTATAATGGGATAAGCAGTACCTCCACTACCGGCGGGCTCAGGCTGGGAATAAGACTTGGACAGGACATAGATGGTAAGACGTGGCGGCTAGTTACCCACATGCCTGATGGAAGAGGGCTGTTTTTGTGGCCCTGTGGAACTGCGAAAGGTCCCGCAGGGTCCTGATCTCACCCGGAAGCTCATTCCAGTAAGCAGGAGCAGCCACGGAAAAAGCCCTGGTCAATACCAGCCTGGTGTCCTTGGGACCGGGACGGGGGGGCGGGAAGGTCAAAACAGCACCTTGAAGCGAATTCGGTATGCTATTGGCAGCCAGTGCAGTGCCTTCAGCACAGGCTCCCTGGCTCTCGCATAGGGAGACCCATCAACAGTCCGGCCGCTGCATTTTGCACCAGCTGCAGCTTCCAGAGTTGCGCCAAGGGCAGCCTCATGTAGAGAGCATTGCAGTAGTCTAACCTCGAGGTGACCATAGCATGGATCACTGTTGCCAGATCACTGCATTTGAGGAAGGGGACCAACTGCCTAATCAGCCGAAGATGGTAAAAGGCTGCCTTGGCAGTGGCTGCTACCTGGGCCTCCACTGTTAAGGAGGCATCCAGGAGCACTCCCAAACTCCTGACCCTTGGCGCTGGCACCAATGGCGCCCCACCGAAGGTCGGTAGTGGGATCCCTACCCCCGACCCGATCCGCTCCGACTCAGGCACAGGACCTCCGTCTTCGTTGGATTCAATTTCAATCGGCTCAGTCTAAGCCATCCAGCCACATCCTGTAACGCCCAGTCCAGGTCTTCTGGGGTAGAGTCAGACTGATTGCCCAACAACAGATACAGCTGGGTGTCATCTGCATATTGGTGACACCCAAGCCCATGCCTCCAGGCAATCTGTTCAAGGGGGCACATGTAGATGTTGATTAGCATCGGAGACAGCACCACCCCTTGAGGAACTCTGCAGATCAGCGGGTGCCTTCCGGACAACTGCTCCCTGAGAGCCACCCTTTGTCCCCAACCTTGGAGAAAGGAGACGAGCCATTGCAAGGCAAGCCCCTGAATCCCCGTGTCGGCAAAGCGGTGGGCCAGCAGCTGATGGTCGACCATGTCGAATGCTGCCGACAGGTCCAACAACAGCAGCACCGCCGTCCCGCCCCGATCCAGATGCCTCCGGAGGTCATCTGTGAGGGTGACCAATGCTGTCTCTGTCCCATGGCCTGGGCGGAAGCCGGACTGCAAGGGATCGAGCATGGAAGTGTCATCCATAAAGCCCTGCAACTGTAGCGCCACGGCCCTCTCAATTAATTTGCCCAAACAGGTCAAATTGGAAACCGGCTGATAGTTTGCCAATCTGGCCGGATCCAGAGATTTTTTTATTTTTTTTTAAGGAGAGGGCGGACCATCGCTTCCTTGAGAGCCCCCAGGAACAGCCCCTCAGAGAGGGACTCGTTTATCATATCCCCGAGGGATCCTCAGAACTATTAAAGTTTCTCAGGGCGTGTAAGGCCTGAAGCCAACTGAAAGGGATGCCGGCAAGGGCAAAACGGCTGTTCCGTGAGTGAACATTTAGCCTGGCCATCACGGCTACCACTTAGCCACCACTGCCTATATTATACGAGCAGAATATAAATCAGTCTCCTCGGTGCAGCTGCTTCTCTTTGCCTGACACCAATCTGTGCCCCTTGTACCGCTCTTACTAAATGTCAGAATATGCGCCTCCCAGAACTGAAACCGACCTGTATTTTCCTAGGGTTACCTGGGCAACAGGAATGGCAGAGAGAGTGACTCCAAGCCCCAACGCTGCCACTTTCCTCCATGGTCCCCTCAGTCCCGACACACAGCGACTCCTCGCGCCAGCCAGGATTGGAAAACTCCGCCTACAAGAGACATACATTTTAAGTACAGGGGCACCCTGCTGCCAGGTAACCAATCCTCTTCCAGCATAGGGGTGGCCAAACTGTGGCCCGGGAGCTGCATGCGGCTCTTACTCACATATTGTGCGGCTCCCGGCACGGTGGCTGGGGAAGCTAAATATCACTAGCAAACAAATATCATTGGACAAATAAATATCATTACCAATATCTGCTTTTACCTCTTTTGTTATTATTTTTGACAGTCTCATTTCATGTTACTAAAAAGCAGATTTTCATATTTCCCAATAAAAACACGTAGTATCTGTTCCTGTCTTGCGGCTCCCAAACATCTGATGTTTATTCTAGGTATGTGGCTCTTATGTTCAGCAAGTTTGGCCGCCCCTAATCTAGCACATCTCGACTCCACAGCATCTGCCAGGAAATCTCAGTTTCACTCCTCTCCCCTTCAAGAAGCAAGGCACCTTTAGGCTGGGCAATGCCTTTCAAAGAGAGGACACGGGTTAGCTGCCCAGGGAATTTTGCCTGGCACCATTAAAGATGGAGAGGACTTTTCTAGATACAATGCCACTGTTTGGCATTGGTATTGTACTTCTGAGTATCCTTTCAAACCACTTTACATCCATTCTCTTCTTGCACCCCCAACAAAAACTGTATGGTATGTTAGCATCACCGCCATATTCTCAATGGGAGGAAAGGGAGGAGGTTTAAAGAGCCGTGGGTCAGAGGACACTCAAATATGTGCTCCCTATTGGAGCTTTTTTCCGTCTATTTCTTATTTAGGGCTCATTATAATTTTTTTTTTTTGAAAAAAGGTTTAATTAAAGAGTTCATTTTTAAAAAAATCCTAATTGTCTTATTTATGTTTGGTGTAGTGGTTAAGTGCGTGGACTCTAATCTGGGAGAACCGGGTTTGATTCCCCACTCCTCCACTTGTACCTGGCTGGATGACCTTGGGCAAGCCGTAGTTCTGACAAGAGCTGTTCTTGAAAAACAGCAGTTTCTGTCAGAGCTCTCTCAGCCCCACCTACCTCCCAAGGGTTTCTGTGGTGGGGACGGAAAGGGAAAGGAGTTTGTAAGCCACTCCGAGACACCTTTGGGCAGTGAAGGGTGGGGTATAAATCCAATCTCTTCTCTTCTATGTTCACTCAACTTCTTATCTTCGTTCTCTAGTTTTAGGGGCACCGTTAGCTCCCCCCCCACTTAATTATGCATGGTGAGACATAAAGATTTAACCAACTGTTTATTTTATCTTATGTTAGTTTAGTTTATCTCTTTAGAGGGCTTATAAGGTTGTGTTAAATTCCTATGAGGATAGGTTTAGTTTATTTCTATTTGTTATTTTGTTTTCTGTTTATCTGAGGGGTTTTTTTAACTTATTTGAATTGTGCTTATTTTCTGTTAACAATCATCTATAATTACTTATATCTATTTCAATTTAATTATCCTAATTTTCATTAGTTGGATTACCTAAATGCCCGGTAGTTGGTCAGTAGGGCATGGCTGGTTGCTCTGCACTATCTCTGGCACTGCATCTTAGAGTTGCCTGCCTGAGGTCGCAAAGGGTCAAAGTAAGATTTGAACTGGGGACATCCTGGTTTGTAGCCCATTTTCTTAGACACTGCACCACATCTTCCTTCGGATTGTTTGCACAAGTTTTAATTTTGTATTTATACCAGGGGTATAGGGGGTATCTATGGGGGGGTGTATATCCCTGAATTTAAACTCGTTACACTTTCATTTCTATTAAAGGTAAAGGTTTCCCTTGCTTGAAAGCCAGTCGAATCCGACTCTAGGGTTGCGGTGCTCATCTCTGTTTCAAAGCCGAAGAGCCAGCGCTATCCGAAGACGTTTCCGTGGTCATGTGGTCGCATGACTAAACGCTGAGGCACACGGAACGCTGTTACCTTCCCCCTGAAGCAGTACCTATTTATCTACTTGCAATTTCTTGGTTTCGAACTGCTAGGTTAGCAGGAGCTGGAACCAGAGACGGGAGTGGCACTCGGGTCTCGAACTGCTGAACTACCGACCTTTCAGCCTGCAGTTCGGCGTCTTAACCACTGAACCACCGCAGCTCTATTAGGAAGATGTTAATAGTTAAATGGTTGGTAATGAAATTGTATTCTCAGGCTTGAGGTGTCTTATACCCATAAAATTTGAATTAAAAAAATCTACATCTTATAAAATATATAAAGACAAGCACGCAAACCCCAACCAAGCAGCTAGCAAAACAAACAGTACAAAACTACTAAGAAAAGCATGCAGAAGTCATATCAAACTTCAGATATGCAAAGTGAACTAATCTTAAGCATTCCACCTGCTACCTATCCACAACTTAGAACCTAACATACCATGCTACGTTATACACGTTACATACAACTCTGTTTAAGTAAAATAAAACATTTATTCCAATTTACACTTCTGTGAGCCAGAGCTGGCTTCGTCAGATGCACTGGAGTGTATATCCACTAGGGCAATGCTTTTTCGTTCTCAACAGGAGGGTGGGAAGCAATGTTAAAGAAATGCCGGTGTGAAAGAAGACCAAATAAAAAGAATAGTCGGAATAGACTCAGATCTTGTTTCAGACTGGCTTCTCTTGGTAACGTTCTCTGCCTCCCCCTTCTGTTGTACATGTAAAAGCATCAACTCCAGTGCAGCTGACAACGTGAGGTTTCTCACATAAAGCTTATGCCGGTATGAAGTCTTTAAAATGCCACTGGACTCCTTGTTTCCGCTGCTAACATGGCTATCCATCTAGATTCTCTCTAAGTGATCTGCCTCAATTTCTGAGAAGCCGGGCTGGATTCATACCCGGAAAGTGCATATTGCTAGGACAAGTCCCAGCGCCCCTTTTCAGCATGAGTCCAGGGATGCCCTGTTGAAAGTCCTATATAAGAAACCATAGCTAACAGCGCTGTCCTGCGGAGAGTTACTTCAGCCGACCTCCATTTAAATCAGTGGGCTCAGACTGAAGTATTGCGCTGTAAATCAGGTAATGCCCCCCCCCCCCCTCCTGACACTTTCACAGAACTGGTCTTTTCTTTTAAGATTTTTAAGTCTTGATTTCAAAGAAATCTGGCTTGCTCAATTCCATGCTGCACCTTCTACTGAGGTTTTAGGTAGGTTCTCTCACTTATGTGGCTACAGAAGATCCACAAGAAAAGGCACCAGATTCATGTTATGAAGCTACCCCAAGTTATAATCTGCTTGCTGGTTGCATCACATACAAAGCTCAATTTTGATCACATACAAAGCTCAAATAATTTTGCATCTGTTCATTTATACAGTTTTTGGCTAGATCAGTGTCTTCTGTAGATCAGTGTCTTCTGATCTGGGGGAATTGTAACTCTGTGTCAACCCACATGTTTGGCTCAGTTACTAAGAAAGAACAACCGCTAACCTCATAGGGAAGTTGGGCAACTGGAAACGAAAGTCGTGGTTCCCCTTTGATACTCGCTAGATTCTGTTCCTCAATAGATAATATCCAATTTTTTCAAAATTTATAACCACTTTTCTGCCAAAGAGGCAGCTAACAAATTACATACATAATAAAACCAAATCTTAAATGACATACATAATAAAACCAACAAGAAACACATCATTCACACAACTAAACCCAGAACTTTTATTTACACACACACACGAAGATTGGGAAAAACTTTTTTGGGGGGGGCTCAAAAGAGCCCCAAAAGAAGGTGCTGTCATCCTCCATTATTTCCAATGAAGGGAAGGCATTTAAAAAGAAAACCCGCTCCCTTTGAATGTGACAACCAGAATTCCCTTCTGAGTGTTTTTTTAAAAAACCTTTCAACATACATACAATTTGTTACAAAGTATATGTATCTTTCAAATTACGAATACATATTCTAGTAATTTAAACCGCTTTTCATTCGCAGGGTCACCATGAGTCATACGCCACTTGGCAGCACTTCATAACACACCCGCATGCTGCCAAGAGCCTCAAGACCAGTGTTCCCTCTAAAGTTTATCTAAACTGAGTTAGTGTGAGCTAGCTCACAGGTTGTTTGGCCTCCAGCTCACACATTTTTGTCTCTGCTCAAGAAGGACGGCTCCAGACCAAACTAACTTACGCGGTAGCCAAATCGCTCACTCACAACTTTAACGCCAGTAGTTCACAAAATAGAATTTTGGCTCACAAGACTCCACAGCTTAGAGGGAGCATTGGTTGCCACATGGGTGCCTCTCCTCAGAGAGCTACTGTGGATATATGTGCGGCTGGCAGAACTCCCTTGGCTGAGGGTGCTGCATCAGTGTTCCCTCTAAGCTGAGTTCGTGTGAGCTAGCTCCCAGTTTTTTTAGCCTCCAGCTCACACATTTTGTCTCCGCTCCCCGAAGGCTGGCTCCAGGGCAGAGTAACTGACGCAGCCGCCAAATCCCTCCCTCACCACTTTAACGCCAGCAGCTCACAAAGTAGAAGTTTGGCTCACGAGACCCCGCAGCTTAGAGGGAGCACGGCTCGAGACCGCCACAATTCATTTCAGAAACCACACGGAGACGGTATCTAAAACGGGCATCTCAACCTCCCCGGGTCTGCACAGCCGCCGAACCGGCGCAGGGGCAGCCCGAACCCCTCCGCCCGGCCTCTTCCCAAGGCCCAAAAGCCAGCCCGCCGCCTGCCGGCCTCGCCTCCTGGGGAGAAGGGGTTCCTTCAAGCCCCCCACCCCTTCCAGCAGAAACGGGTCGGAGGGGCGGCCTCGACAAGGGCGGCTTCCCAGGCCCCGCAGTGCTCTCTGGCGGGCGGGGGCCCCTCCCCCCCCCCCGCCAGGGGACCCGGATCCTCGAGCAGACGCCCCGCGCGGAAGGGGGGAGGCGGCTCTCCGGGGGACGGAGGAGGGCAGCGATCCGCCGGGTGGACCACTCAGGGCAAAGCCCCCCAGCCCCGGGCTCTACCTGAGGAGCGCGCTCCAGCCCCGCACCCAGCGAGCGCTCCAGCCCGCCGCCGCCGCCGCCATCTTGGCTCCGTGGGGAATCTTGGGAGCGACGGAAATGACGCGTTTCCGGAGCCGACAGCTCACCATAGAGGGCCGGAAATGAGGGTCGGTTTTTACCGGCCTTCCTCTAAGGTTGCCAGCCTCCAGGTGGGGCCTGGGGATCTCCCGCTTTCACAACGGATCCCCCAGCTGGCAGAGATTGGCTCCCCTGGAGAAAGTAGCTGCTTTGGAGGGTGGACTCTAGGGCGTTGCACCATGCTGAGGCCCCCTCCCCAAACCCCGCCCTCTCCCGGCTCCGCCCCCCAAAGTCTTCAGGTCTTTTCCATCCCAGACCTGGCAACCCGGCCTTCCTCTTCCGTCCCCGTCTCTCAGTTCGCATTAAAGGCTAGCTGGATTTGATCCAGTGGCACCCTAGGGATGCCAACTCAGGCTTGGGAAATTCCTGGAGGCAGGGTTGCCAGATCTGGGATGGAAAAGACCTGGAGACTCTGGGGGGTGGAGCCGGGAGAGGGCGGGGTTTGGGGAGGGGAGGGGCCTCGGCATGGTCACAAGGCCACAGGGTCCACCCTTTGAAGCAGCCATTTCCCCCAGGGGAGCTGATTTCTGTCAGCTGGAGATCAGTTGTAAAAGCAGGAGATCCCCTGGCCCCACCTGGAGGCTGGCAACCCAACCTGGAGGCTAGGGAGGGGTGGTTGGGGAGGGGCCTCAGTGGGGTGTAGTGCCATAGAGTCCACCCTCCCAATAGGGTTGCCAATCCCCGATTGGGGGCGGGAATCCCCATGTTTGGAGGGGGCCCCCCGCTTCAAGGTTATCAGAAAGGGGGGGAGGGGGAGAAATGTCTGCTGGGTGCTCCAGTATTCTCTATGGAGACCAGTCCCCATCTCTCCTTATAATAATTGTGTTTTAGGGTGGCCACCGTCCTATGGGGTGGCGAGAAAAAATGCACTCCCTCAGCCATTGGCCCATCGGCTGCTGCTTGGGGCAACTGGCGTGCCATTGGCTGGGGGGGGAGGACAAGCCTCGCCGCCTTGGCCCGCGCGGCCCTGGAACGGATGGCAAGTGGGCAGTGGAGAGATGGACGAGGCCACGGTGGGCAAGAGGTGCCGAGGTGGCCATGACGGCGCGGCCTGGGCCGGGGAAGCTGCGGTGCCCCCATTCACCATTATTTCCAATGGAGGGAAGGCATTTAAAAAAAACAAAAAAAAAAACCCTGGTCCCTTTAAATGTGAGGGCCAGAATTCCCTTTTGAGTTCAATCGTGCTTCTTCCCTCCCCTTTCCCAGAGGCTCCTGAAAAGTCCCCTGCCAGATTGTCAGCCTTACCTGGCAACCCTACATGGTACCAGTGTGTGTGGCTTTGGTGGAGAATGAGTTGAGAACAACTACTGTGTTAGAAGCACAAGCTCCTCCCATGGAATCACAGGAAACTTCTGGTTACCGGGAGGGGGGTTGACCTGAAAGTGACATCACAGGATATGACATCACAAAAGCGATGACACATCCTTGCTCCTGGCTCCACCCCCAAAGTCCCCAGATATTTCCTGAGCTGGAGTTGGCACCCCTCCCTCCAAAGCAGCCACTTTCTCCAGGGGAACTGATCTCTGTAGTCAGAAGATCAGTTGTAATTCTGGGAGCTCTCCAGGCCCTGCCTGGAGGTTGGCAAACCTGCAAGTGACCAAGTTCCCCTGGTCAGATATGCTCTCAAAAGTTTACACCCCAAAATCTGGTCGCTCTCCTAGGTGCTACTGGACTTGACTCTTGCTCTTCTAATGCAGACCGACACAACTACCCACTTTAAACTAAACTGAAGCCTAAAAGCGTTGTCTCAGAACCAGAAACAAAATCCATGTAATACCTTTTAACAGGGACAGCCAAAACAACACAACATTGCCCAAGCTTTGGAGCTCATCAGCACTCTTCATCGGGTTAGATGGCTTAAAAATGACAAAATGAAGGCAGAGAAAAAAGATTTTCCAGTTCAGGATCTTGACCCTGCCTTGTTAGGTGTCAAGTGTTGAATGAAGAAGAAAAAGAGATTGGATTTACACCCCACCATTCACTTGGAGTCTCAGAGCGACTTACCATCTCCTTTCCCTTCCCTCCCCACAACAGACACCCTGGGAGGTAGGCAGGGCTGAGAGAGCTCTTTCCAGAACTGCCCTTTCAAGGACAGCTCTTGACAGAACTATGGCTTGCCCAAGGTCATCCAGCAGCTGCAAGTGGAGGAATGGGGAATCAAACTCCCAGATTAGAGTCCGCACAGTTAACCACTACAACAAATGCTGGCAGGTATATTTGGCCTGATGAGGAGGAGTTGTGATGTGGTTGCAAAATGTTTTGTGTCATTTTGGTTGGCTCCGATGAACAGTATTATGCTGGGGGGGGGGGGTTTCTTGTTTTGCAGGTTTCGTTTCTTGTTATTCAGATTTTTGTTTGGTTTCTTGTTCTGGATTTCTGAGGTGGCTTGCAACAGTAGTAAAAATAAATAAAAACAGCTGCAGAAACATTGGCAGGAATCATTAACAGTAGAAGAAAAAAATACAAACAGGAAAAGCGAAACATCATTAAAAGCAGATTCCAGTGGGTTGCCGTTGTGTTGGTCCGCAGCAACAGAACAAAGTTTGAGACCGGGGGGCACCTTTAAGACCAACTAAGTTTTATGCTGGGTATAAGCTTTTGTGAGCATGCATGCACAAGAAAGCTTATACCCAGAACTGAACTTTGTTGGTCTTAAAGAAGAAGAGAAGAGATTGGATTTATACCCCGCCTTCACTACCCAAAGGTGTCTCAGAGCGGCTTACAAACTCCTTTCCCTTCCCCTCCCGACAACAGACACCCTGTGAGGTAGGTGGGGCTGAGAGAGCTCTGACAGAAACTGCCTTTTTTCAAGAACAGCTGTGCCAGAACTATGGCTTGCCCAAGATCATCCAGCAGGTGCAAGTGGAGTGGGGAATCAAACCCAGTTCTCCCAGATTAGAGTCCGTGCTCTTAACCACTACACCAAACTGGCTCTCTTTAACACTCTTACCTACATAAGTGTCGAGTTCCATCCTTTCTTAGGGTCTGGCGAAAAGATCCTAGCAAAATCTGATACCTTCATCAAAGTCTGGAGGTTGTGAAACAGTGTACTAGAGAATACAATGCCATACCTTTCCCCCTAGAACATAACGATTGTAAGGAATAGATACAATCACTTTCTGGGGTAGCATAGATTTCTTTCCTTTTTTACAAGTTCTACGGTCAAATCTCTGAAATTTTATATTTCACTTTTGGAAATTCAGTGATGGAATTCACTCCACAACATGTGGGAATATCCGTTCTTATGCCCTGCTTTTTGAATAGTAAATTAAACAATTAAATTTAAAATTAACCCAAAACATTCTCGTCTGAATCAGATACAAGAGATTATGCAAGACCAGTAGGTTGTTTACTTTATTGATTTTCCTTTCGAAACAGAGAATGGACAGACCGTTCTTCGTGCCTTCTCCAGGCAGCCTGGGGTTCAGCCGCTTCATTAACGTCCTCAGATGAAAGAGGAACTAAAAGCTGAAATCTAGATTGGGTGGTAGAGAATACCCTACGCCAGGGGGAAATTGTATTCAACGTCGGAGCTTATAAGGGTGATAACAGGAGGGCAAGTTACAGCTTGACCATATTGCTCCTGCATTTATCTTGTCACTCTCATAGAGAGATTAAAAGAAAGATGGGAGGAGGTAACCTTGCTGTTCTTCCCCTGTGAGATGCTGACTCCTGAGAAAAATGAGTAAAATATATGAACAAAACATTTGGTTTGTAGAAGAAGAGGAGGAGGAGGAGATAGGATTTATGCCCCGCCCTTCACTCGGAGTCTCAGAGTGGCTTACAAACCCCTTTCCCTTCCCCTCCCCACAACAGACACCCTGTGAGCAATGTTCCCTCTAAGCTGTGGAGTCCTATGAGCAAAAATTCTACTTTGTGAGCTACAGGCATTAAAGTTGTGAGCAAGTGATTTGGTTACTGCATAAATCAGTTTGCTCTGGAGCTGTCCTTCCTGAGCTAAGACAAAAATGTATGAGCTGGAGGCTAAAAAACTGTGCGCTAGCTCACACTAACTCAGCTTAGAGGGAACAGTGCCTGTGAGGTAGGTGGGGCTGAGAGAGCTCTGAGAGAGAACTGCCCTTGAGAGAACAGCTCTGTCAGAACTGTGGCTGGCCCAGGGTAATCCAGCAGCTGCAAGTGGAGGAGTGGGGAATCAAACCCAGTTCTCCCAGATTAGAGTCCACACACTTAACCACAGCACCAAACTGGCTCTATGTACGTAATGAATCAAGTAAGAAAATAAAGAGCTTGCAAAGTCTGTGGACTAAAGAGGGGGATTGTCGTGTTTCTTGATTGGGCGTTGGACGGAGCCTGTGCCTCAGCAGCCGCAGGTGGGGGGCGGGAGGATCGGTCACTTGAGCACCAGGAAGTAAGTGGTCCAGCCAGCCAGCAGCAGGGCCCCAAACAGCACCGTGTAACTGAACAGCACGAAGGCCAGGAGCTCCTTCAGCACCTTCAGGCAATGGACAGCGAAGGAGTCCTGCATGGTTCGGCCTCTGCAAGAAGGTGGAGAGGAATGCGCCGGAAAAGCCCGACCTGTAAGAGAGACAGAAAGCGGCACTGAGAAATGGAAATGGAACTTTTGCATCCAAGAGCCAATCTGAGACTCCGAGTGAAGGGCGGGGCATAAATCCAACCTCCTCCTCCTCCTCTTCTTGGCTAAGAGCCGGGGACTCTGATCTTGAGAACTGGCTTTGATTCCCCACCTCTCCACATGCAGTCGCTGGGTCACCTTGGGTCAGTTGCAAGTTCTCTCAGAGCTGTTCTCTCAGGAGCCGTTCTCGAAAGAGTTGGGAGGGGAAGAGGATTGTAAGCCGCTCTGAGACTCCTTCTGGTAGAAGAAGAAGAGATTGGATTTACACCCCGCCCTTCACTCGGAGTCTCAGAGCAGCTTTCAAACTCCTTCCCCTTCCCCTCCCCACAACAGACACCCTGTGAGGTAGGTGGGGCT